AAGTCGACCCCATTGGCCTCCACTATCCCCATGTTTCGTAGCACCTCATGATAGCTGTCCAAATAGTCCTAGGGATCCTCTGAAGATGCACCGCTGAAGTGAACTAGGAAAAGCTTGGTAAACCTATTCGACCTCCACAAAGCCTCAAAGACATAGTTGATCCATCACCAGTTTGTGCTGCAACACCCGGCAGAACTGCCCCCACTAGCTGGGCTGCTGGAGTATGAAACTAGGGAGTCATCTACTCCGGAGTGTGAGTAGCAGGAGTCTGGATTCCTTAACTAGCCTGAGAGATGGCTGGTGCCATAGAAAATGTGCTGGTTTGAGCAACACTCTCCATAAGACCCACTAGACGGACCAAAGCATCTTGAAGTACTAGGGTGGCGATGAACCCCTCCGGGACTGGATCTGGTCCGACAGGCACCGTCTGGGCTGGAACCTCCTCATTAAACTCTATCTGAGGCTCTACCACTGGTGCTGCTACTCGAGCTCGGGGCTGAGCTCTGCCCCTGCCTCTGGCACGACCTCGGCCTCGACCCCTACCCCTCGTAGGAGTTGCTGCTCAGCTGAACATGCAGTATGCATTCTCGCCATTTGTGAAAGAATAGAATAGAAGGGTTCAATCAACAATGATAGAATAAAAATCGCACGACAGAGAAGAATAGAAGAGAAATTGTTCCTAACTCCATAGCCTCCGGAAGAAAAGTACATACATCTCCTTACTGAACCGCCAGACTCGACTAAGTTTTCTCGTGACTCGTGAGACCTATGTAACCTAATGCTCTAATACTAACTTGTCACGACCCAAAATTCTCACCATCAGGGTTGTGATGGCACCTAACAATTCACTTGCCAGGCAAGCCAACGTTAGAATAATTTACTTCTTTTAACAGTTTAAGTGATAACATTAATAACGAACTGAAATAACATATATGTTCTAAGTACAAATGTGGAAGCTAAACAACCGACGTCTATTAAAATTCCCTGAATCTGGTGTCACAAGTACGCGAGTTTCTAAAGTAATACACATAAAGGTCTGAAATAAGTACAAAGTTGTATGAATGAAGTTGTACAGCTAAAAGAAAAGAGGATGGGGACTCCTAGAGCTGCGGGTGCTGAACAGTCGTACCTCAAGTCTCCGCAAATGTCCGGTCTGAGCTCGCTAATAACCGCCGATGGGACCGTTTCCAAAATTTGCACAGTGTGCAGAGTGCAGTATGAGTACAACCGACCCCATGTACTGGTAAGTGCGGAGCCAAACCTCGACGAAGTAGTGACGAGGCTAATTGAAATACGGTACAGAATTAAACAGCCAACAGGAAATGATAACCACAACCTCGAAGATAAACCAACGTCGTCCAAAATTACCAATCTCTACCAACTCAAATAAAAATATCGGAAAACAATTCAGTTCAAGAAATAGAAACATATAGGTTGTTGCGGCGCAACTTGATCCCATCAAACAACACATAATCCTCCCTTATTCTACCATAACAATATTAATAACAGTAATATATATATATATATATATATATATATATTTGTTACGGCGCGCAACCCGATTCCACTATATATCAATATCAGTATCAATATCAATATCATAATTCATCCTTATTTCACCATATTAATCCACTATTATTCTACCTGTTGCGGCGTGCAACCCGATCCCACCGTATCAGTGCCAAACAATCAATGTATTCAGTCAATTCAACATGCTAAATCACAAGGCCTTTATGATAAGCAAATACCAAACTGAACCAAGAAAAGGAACCTTGTTCAATGTAGAATCTATACAAATAATACTACACAATGAGATCAAACCAGCAATTTACAGTTAGAGGTACAAGCAAGTCAAATTAAATAAATAGCAGGGATTAGGGGAACTATGAAAAGAACTAACATGGTTAATAGAAGGAGATATTGAGTAACACGTAGCAATTAAGCATGGAAATCATTTAGAGTATGTAACAATTAAGATATGAGGGAAAACAATTAAGGAAAAGTGATAAATCTGGAAAAACAGATAATTCTGTGGCGTATAAGCACTCGTCACCGTGCCTATATGCCGCTCACATGGAATTCACATATCACAAAGTCCGAGGTCCCTAATTCCCTCAAGTCAAGGTTAGACACAATACTTACCTCGCTCCAAAGGCCACTCAAAACTCAATCACAGCTTTGCCTCTCAAACACGCCTCCGAACCAACAATATCTAGCAAATAACCAACTAAACGTTTCAAAATAAGCCATAGGAATCACCCATGATCGATAAGAATTCAATTAGGCCATTATTGAAAAAGTCAACAAAAGTCAACACCCGGGTTCGCTTGGTCCAAATCCGAAATTTAGACCAAAACTCGATTACCCATTCACATCCGAGCTCGGATATGTAATTGATTTTGGAATCCGACCTCAATTTGAGGTCTAAATTCCCAATTTATCAAATCCCTAATTTCTATCCAAAACCCCCCAATTCCACCATGAAAATCTTAGATTTTAGATTTAAATCTTGTAAAATAAAGTGAAAAGTTGAAAGAAACTAGTTTAGAATCACTTACCTATGTTTTGGGGGAAGAAATGATCTTTGGAAAATCGCCTCATGTGTTTTAGGTTTTGAAAATTTGAAGAATGAATGAAAAATTCCCTCTAAGTTACTTTTACACAGCTACAGATGTCGCATTTGCAAGTCTCTCACACTTTTGCTTCCTTCGCAAAAGCAAAGAAATGCTCGCAAATGCGAGTTGAGCTGATCGCAAATGCGATCCAATGATCGCAAATGCGAACACTGCCTCCCTCCTGTCCCCATTGCAAATGCGAAGCATTGTTCGCAAATGCCAATGCTGGCCTTCCCAGCCACTCTTCGCAAATGCGATAAGTGTATCGCAAATGCGAACCCAACAGTGGTCGCAAATGCGACGCTTGACCTCACATTTGCGAGGTCTGAGGCTTGCAACAAAAATCTGATACATCAGCAGTGTTTTAAGTCCTATTTTCACTCCGTAGCCTATCCAAAACTCACCCGAGCCCTTAGGGTTCCAAACCAAACATGCACACAAGTCTAAAAATATCATACAAACTTGCTCGTGCGATCAAATCGCCAAAATAACACTTAAACCCACGAATTTGGTACCAAATCAAATGAAATTCTCAAGAACACTTTGGAATTCCTATTTTTCAAAACCGGACGTCCGAATCACATCAAAACCAACTCCGTTTCTCACCAAAATTCACAGACGGGTCTTAAATATTATATTGACCTCGTACTAGGCTCTAGTACCAAAATACGGCCCCGATACCAACAAGATCAAACATCAATATTTTTCTTAAAAACCAATAATTTTTCAGATTTTAATGTTTAACAAACATCCATAACTCTGGCTAGGGACCTCCAAATACGATTTCGGACATACGCTCAGGTCCCATATTTCGATACGGACCCACCGGGACTGTCAAAGTACGAATCCGGATCCATTTACCAAAAATATTGACCGAAGACAACTCAAATGAAAATTTTAAGCAAAAATCCTTATTTTTATCAACTTTCAACATAAAAGCTTTACGAAAACACGCCCGGACTGCGCACGCAAATTAAAGAGGGATAAAATAAAGTTTTTAAGGCCATAAAATACATAATTTGGGTCGGGTCATCACATGTACTAGCATTATTCTTTTGATTTATTATACATATTCGCCATTTGCGTAGCTTACTGGCCTTAGTCAATATTCATCCACAAGAGGTACACACAAAATCAATCTTCGCAGATAAATTTATATCTTCTTTGTTATTGCACTTTTTATAAGTGTTTCTTATTTTATATCTACTCCTCTTATTGAATATATTGTTGTATCTATATCTATGAAATTTGATATTGTTGTCTATGCATATTTAATCTTGGAAATGATTATTACTGTTTTCAGTAGAAAGTATTGATCTCTTTGTTACTTATTTCCTTCTATTATAGTCATAAGTTGATGACATTAATTGGAGTTAAAGTAAAAATCACAAGAAAGTGAATGTTCTAACTCTCCACCTTGTACCATGCTTAATCTTCTTGCTTAAACAATGACCTAAGAGGAGCAAAACAAATTAAGATTAATTTTCGGTCAAGAACCTGACCATCTATTCAGAATAAGTAATATTTTCTATATTGTTATAAAGTATCTTTTTAATTTCATTAAATTTCTTGTTTTGAACCCTACTTCAATTTGCACTTTTGTCATCCATCATGAATTCTACATGCTTGAATTTTTATCAAAATCAATAGTTATCTTCTAGGTTAAGTTCTGACGCGTACTAATAACATATGCAACAACAATGGTATTTGTTCTTCGTATAGTTATGACAACAAAATGACTTACTCTTACCGTGACAAACGAAGCTTGTCATTGACTTCAATGTTCTCTATCTAATACAGAAGGTAGAAGGATTATTCATTTCCTCAAAATATAATGCATCATTGGTAAAAATATAGTAATGATATTCTATTTGCATTTCCCCCCCTAAAAAATATAAGAATCCATGATTTATACACTGAAATTACAGTAAGGCACGTATATGGGGCAAAATTTCTTTCTTTAGTGAACTACCTAATAGGATCATCATTCATAAAACTTACTTTTTTTAATTTCTATTTCATAACTCAAATATATTAGTTTATAATATTTGTGTAATCTTGCGTGTCTAAAGACTAGTGTGTGTATATATTTATATTTATACTATATTAAAAACATGAAAGCCCTTAGCTAAATGTCGTTCGCCTTTTTTACCTTTTAAAAATAATATAATATTAAATAAAATTGTTATTTTACTTATATATATATATATATACACGTACAAAAAATATGAGAAATATTTTTTTTTCAATATCAGCCTATAATAAGAACAAACCTTAATTGAAGTGGCAAAATAAAAAATAGTGTCAACTTTAAGGCGCAGCTCTGTGTATTTGGCTAATATTTAATAGATGTACCAAAAATGTTCACTAGTACGTATTATTTTTGAACCTACCCTGAACATAAGGACCATTTTTCTCGGAAGGAAGAAAAAAGAGACCGTGTTCGCGGTCTGTAATCCAAATGGCGCTGCTCTTGTAAAGCAGATATCCCAGGTAAAAAAGGTGAGATTAAATTCCCCTGAAAGTTCAATTGCTCCTGGTGGATAGATTACTCTGTTTTTTCTTGATTACTGTGGTGGATTTACACATAATTCGTTTGCTATTTTCAAATGGGTCCAAACCTAAATTTTTCTACTTCATCAGTACGCAGAAATTTTTATTGAACTTTATAGTTGTGGTTGTACAGCATATATAGTTGTCAATTAGTATGCACTCACTAGCTGATATAGTGTGAAACGTTTTGAATATTTGTAAATGTTATCTTCGAAACTTTTAACTTATTAATTTCTGGATTTTCACAGTATTTTGTTGAAGTTGAAGTGTAATAAGGGAGCAAGTTTCCGAGCACATGGCATGTCATCAACTGTCACATTGTTTGAGGACTCTCTTTCACTTAGGGAGTAAAAATATATGGGTTGCTCAGTCGCCTAGTGGCAATTTCAGTACTTCCCGTTTCAGAAAGTTACATCCCATTTGTTCTTTATCGACATCTCCTCTTAATAGGGTAAATAGAAAAAGCTTCCATTAGTCTTTATCTTCAGTCCCTTGTACTTTTCAACATTAAAGCACTAATTGGCTATATATATATATAATAATTATAATTTGTCAGGGTTACTGCAGAGCCGTTTCTTCTGCTAATAATGTTGAATCAGAGCAAGTGTTACATAGAAATGTGCTTTTTGATTTTCCCCATACTCAAATTAAGTCGCCCAATCTTGATCCTTCGAATGGCAGAGTCATGCTCATTGACGGAACCTCAATAATTTACCGAGCTTATTACCGGCTGCTGGGTATGTTTTTTGTCTGTATCATTGATTGTCGTATTCATCCTACTTTGGATATTGATTGTGGGTATTTGTGATGTATTAGATCTACAAAGCATCAACTATATATAACCAATAAAATCTGCTTTTGCTTTGCATTTCTTATCTTGATAACCATAATTTCCAATAATGGAGAAATTGTTATACAATATTTGAACACTTTCACTATATTGAAGTAGATTTTAGGTCTTATAGATTATAGAAGCCATCCCAAAATGCAATTTTGCAATGCTTGAAATTTGAATGGTGTTTAATGAATAATTCTGTTTGATTGCTTCTGCAATATGAGAACATAGAAAGTTAAGGCACAGAGGGAGGGGGGAGGGGTGGACCTAAGTGACGAATAGAATTGACAAAAGCAAGTAGACAAATCAATAGATGGAAAAAGAGGAAGATTCAGGAAAAGAAGAACACTAAAGTTGCTTAATGAGTTTTTATAATCTCTCGGAGAATGACATTTTTGTGTACGCCTTGTATGTGGGGAAATTTCTGCATCACTTTAATAGAACTCGTACCTTGTATAAATCTTTGGTTGGAAAGATCAAGTATCTGATAATTCAGTTAATGATGGATGTATCATGTATGAATTCTTCACAGAACAGAAGTACGATGAAATCAAGTGATCACAGAAGAAAATCCTGCAATATATTCTAAATCATAAGAAACATGACATTCACAAAAGTGCTGAGTCTTCAATTAAAGGACTTCGGAGGGTAGATGCATACACTTTGAAGTTCCATTGCTAGTGAGAAGTAGTAGGAATCTATCTTCAGCTAACAACTACAAATTTGAAAGTTTCTTAATCAATAGTGGAGCAACATTTACCTGCTCAGGCTCCCAGTTTTTTTGACGGTCCCAAATACTCTCCGTAGGAGCCTCTACCTTCACATTAGTTATTATTTTGTGAAAAAAGTATTTGTCATGGTGAAACTTGCTTTCTTCGTGTTGCAACTTGCATAGAAATACTTTTTTTTGTGTTAACCAGTTATTTGGAGAAGAGGGAAACAAAGAGAAAGGAAGGAACAAGAGAGAGAAATAAAAATGAAGAAAGAAGTGAATGAAGATCATTTTCTGTCCTATGTCTGATTTGAGAGGAAATAAAGAGATAAATGGAACAGAGGTTAAAACATCAGCCTATTTACTTTAGTCACTAAGCAGGTGGGTCAAGAGAAAAGGAATTTTACACTTATTTTATAAAACTGAAAAAGGAAAAGAATCCTTTTTATACATAAAAAAGTTCCTTTTCCTTTGTTTTCTCTTTCCTTTTTTCTGGACGAGGTATTTGTTGGGTATAGGAAGAACAAAAACCTTTGGTTATATATGGAGGATTGTATGGGATCAAAGGTCCAAACCAAGAAAAGCAAAAGCGTTAGCAAGAGGCCTTTTTCTTTTTGGGTGGATAAGAGAAACAAGATTTCTTAAGTATGGTACTGTCATTTTGAGTTATCAATCACTTTCTTTTTTATGTGCCTTTATCAATTTGCTTCTTTAATTGCTTTTTATTTTGTACCGAGGTCTCTACTTGAGGTTTGAGTTTGTTTGTGCTTGGTATTTGGTAGAACACAAGAGAGAGCTCACAGGCATATCATGGAGAAATTTGCTCTTCTTTCTTAGACTTTAGTATTAAATCTTGTGGTGATGGTGCATTGCTTAAAGCTTAATATCAATTATTTCACATATTGATATAACATTGGTGTAAATCATTGCTCTAAGGCCAGAGTCTCAAAAAATAGGTTGACGGAAAGTTAATATTCTTAAATGCAAGTTGTCAACATGAAGTATGTTATCATCATTAATAGACCTATGAAGTGCTAATTTGTCGTTTCCCTCTTCGTCCTATTCTAACCTTCATTTCTCATTCCGTATCATCTTTTTTCTTTTTTCTATTTGCGGGGGACTGTAATAATGTGATCCAAATTCTATTAGCTGATGAGGCTTTCTGCAAAATGATTTAAAGATGACAATTTAACATCTTTAGAATGTACTTACTCATAGTCCAACTTTATCTATTATGTTAAATTTCTTTTTAAGCGATATCCGATTTTCTCGATGGCATAAGTCGAAGGCTTTTTTGTGCTTGCCTGCCAGACTGACTTACAACGCCAGAAGTTTCTTCTACTTGGTTTATGTTGATACAGTTTTTACAGTAATTTACCCTTTCCTAAGACATCAATGAAATATGCATATTTTGCTTCTGATATATAGCTAAGCTTCTTGAATTGGAAAACTGAAAGAAGCAAATTATAGAACACTTTGACAAGGGAAGAGTAAAGTTAGTGCGAATTAGAATTTTGTGTTATTTCACTTGCTAACTCGATAAAGCTGGACCTTTTATCATGAGCTTATTGGAATATAGATAATCCCATTAGATATGAACATGTGTTCTTCCTCTCCATTTATGTTTTGAGCAGCTAAACTGCACCACGGTCATCTTTCACACGCTGATGGCAATGGAGATTGGGTACTGACTATATTTACAGCATTGTCACTTGTAAGTCTTTGCTCCTTTAGGTTCCTGATGTTTCTTGTGATATTGTAACATGGGCAAAGTAAGGCAATTTCGTATCTACATTGCGGGATTACCCTTTAAACCTTAGACGCCTTTGTAAATGAAGATGTTTTCCTTCTTAAGGAACTCCTCCATGCTTGTTTAATAAGTGAATCCAGAAATTAAGGATTCCCAGAAAACTTTAAATTGCTTATTTTAACTCAAGCAACTTGCTAATTTAGCTCTTCTGTAGTTGCTTGAATTAGTTTGGATCTACTGTATAGATCTACAGCAGTCGTCTTCTTTTATTTGTAGTTCATATATTGATCTAGCGAACATGCTTATATTGCAGATTATTGACGTTCTGGAGTTTCTTCCTTCACATGTAGTGGTAAGCACCTTTTCTTCTCTGTTTATATTAGTGTCAAAATATTCTTCAGTATTAGCCAATAGGATTTTTGTTGTCATCTTTACTTCTTTATCGTTCCTTCATGTACTTTCAAGGTTTTGCACCTCTCAAATACAAAGAAGAGAGAAAAACAAAGGCACCACGCTAAATTTTTTCACAAAACTAGCGAAATCGTTCTTCAAACTCACGTTAGAAGAATGTAAGATAAAAAGAAACCTCACCCACACGTTCTTCAATCCCGCAAGGTTGCAAGAACCGTTGAATAAAGGAAGAACAATGAAATAAAAAGTAAATCACGTTTTTGAAGCAAGGGCTTAGAAAAACTAATCACCCACCATTATTTTCAGCATATTGAGCCCTTTAAAGTTTAAATAGGCCTTATAATGAGTAAAATTAACGAGGTTAAGAAAAACTAATCCTAATTAAACTAAAATAAGAATAAGGGTAAGGAACACCTATCCTAACTTAAATAGAAAAGAGAATTCTAGTAAGGATGGGATACCAACTAACAATCCTAATTTGACTAGAATTATGAATATAATCCTACTAAAATAAGAATTAAATTACTAGGAAGCAAGAAATCAGAAATCCTAATCTTAAGGAAAAGAAATCCTAATCTTGGATGGATTCTTGTACTTCTTGGATTTCTTGAATTCCCAGCCTTCTTGATCTTTGCATCATTCTCCCTTGGTTGAAAAAGACTCATCCTCGAGTCTAATGGCGTAAGATTTGCCATAATAAACCCAATGCTCACCAGGTTTCAAGTTACACTTTGGTAGCTTATCATAGAGCTTGTTCACGTTGTAAGAAAACTTAGCATGTGGTCGAACTAAATCCCACTTTCTAAGTTTCAACTTTCTACCATGCCTTCTCCATGTAATCTTTCTATATTGACTATCAAACTTCAACTGACGATATGAAGTTATTGGTGTTAGAACTTCATGAAACTTAGCCAACTCCATGTATAACTTTGAATTAAGCATGGAGATCAATGCTCTTCTTGGGAATGCATCAATTGCATCGCTTTTACACCAATAGTCTAAAGCAATCTCCGAGATCTTGGTTGGACAAATTTGCTCAGTTTGTCAAAGGCTTAGGATATTTTCAAAGACAAGCAAATCACACAATGTTCATTCGACATTCACTACAAGGAAAAATAACAATCCTTATAGTGTATATTGATGACATCATACTTTACGTTAAGATGACTCAACTGAAATGAAGAACGTAAAGGATCAATTAGCATCAAAACTTGAAGTCAGAGACTTGGGACCTTTGAGGTATTTTCTTGGCATGGCGATGGCTGGATCATAAGGAAGGAATAATGGTGTCTCAAAGAAAATATGTATTGGATTTGTTAAAAGAAACAGAAATGAGATTGTGCCACCCGTAGAAACTCCTCTTGATCCAAACGTAAAGTTCGGGAATAAAGAAGGAGATTCGATTGACAAAGGCCAATATCAGAGATTGGTAAGGAAGATAATCTTCCTATCATACTCGTCCTGATACAGCTTTTGCAGTAAGCTTAGTCAGTCAGTTTATGCATCCTCCCCGAAAAGAACATCAAGAGGCTGTCTATCGAATGTTGAGATATTTTGAAAGGCTCACCGAGAAAAAGATTGTTATACAAAAATAGTGATAAAATGAGCGTTTGAGGAATATAGCGGATGTAGATTGGCAGGGTCCTCTACTGACAGAAGGTCTACTTCTTGGTCTTGTACATTTATTTGGGGAAATATCGTGACATGGAGAAGTAAAAAGCAAAGTGTTGTGGCATGAGGTATTTTGAAAGGCTCACCGAGAAAAAGATTATTATACAAAAATAGTGATAAAATGAGCGTTTGAGGAATATAGCGGATGTAGATTGGTAGGGTCCTCTACTGATAGAAGGTCTACTTCTTGGTCTTGTACATTTATTTGGGGAAATATCGTGACATGGAGAAGTAAAAAGCAAAGTGTTGTGGCATGAAGTAGTGCAGAAGCGGAGTACAGATCCATGACTCTTGGAGTTTGTGAAATGATTTGGCTTAAGAAATGATAAAGGAACTACGAAGACCTATGACTCTACCGATAAAGCTATACTGCGACAATAAAGTTGCCATAAGTATAACCTATAATCTAGTTCAACATAATAGAAAAAAGCATAATGAGGTAGATAGACATTTCACCAAGGAGAAGCTCAAAGTAGGAAGTGTGTGCTTACTATTTGTGTCAACACAACATATATTTCTACTAAGGGGTTATTTAACTTGAGATTTGAAGGTCTTGTGAGCAAGTTAGGCATGTTGGATATCTATGTACCAACTTGAGGGGGAGTGTTGATTTGTATTATCTGATTATGATCATATGAGGTCATATCGGACCAGATGGTTAGGAAAGTTTCAAATTCTTAGGGATTAGATTTGGATTAGAGTTCTCTTAATTCTGGACTATCTAGAATGAAAGGATTATTTTCCTTTTGATTGATTGGCTATTTTCTATAAATTATGAACTCCGTGAATGAATAAAATATACTATTCCAGTGGATGCCCGACCGTGTTGAGAGTTCTTGGTCTCTTTTCCCACATTTCTCCTCGTAACAGGCTGCTCTTTAGTATGTTCAACGTTCTCTTTGTTAATCAGATGATGCTTTGATTTGTATGTTCAGAATTCAGGTCCTTATTATCTACAACATTTTTCGTTCCTTATTTTTCCTATATCACATATCCATTCCTTATTTTTCCTAGATTACTGTCACCTACATTTAGCTCACCTGTGTTTATCAGGTAAATTAGATCTCTTTGGTTTTGACTCATTCCTTCGTCATTGCAAAAAGAATCTTCTTCTACAAATTTCTCCCTTGCAGACGAGTGCCAAAAGAAAAGGTTGGGCTTCAAAAATGTAATATCTATAGTAACCTCAATTTTTTTTTTGTTTTTAGATCATGACGCTATACCCTTTCTAACTTTGGGCATAGCCTACAATATTACTCTTTCTTGCACGTGGTTCTAGTTTGCTCCAGTATGATCATGGTTGTGAACAAAGCCCATTATATCGGAACACTTTTAATGGCCAATCAGTAGTTAGCCTAGATGTAGTAAATTTCTCTTTGAATAGGCTAAAGGGAGTTATATAACTAAGAACCTTAGATTCCATCCTATTTATTAAATAGGTGGCAGTCAAAAGAGCTTCTCCCCATAAATATTAAGGCTCCGGTTCCACTAAATACCTATTTTTTCCTTCTCGAAAACCCTATTTGTTTTTTTTTGGGGGGGGGGGTTGGTGTCACGATAAGAATTTTGATGAATTAAGGCTCCAGTTCCACTAAATACCTATTTTTCCCCCTCGAAAACCCTATTTGTTTTTTTTTGGGGGGGGGGGTTGGTGTCACGATAAGAATTTTGATGAATTAAGGCTCCAGTTCCACTAAATACCTATTTTTCCCCCTCGAAAACCCTATTTGTTTTTTTTTGGGGGGGGGGGTTGGTGTCACGATAAGAATTTTGATGAATTAAGGCTCCAGTTCCAGTAAATACCTATTTTTTCCCTCTCGAAAACCCTATTTGTCTTTTTTGGAGGAGGGGTTGTCACGATAAGAATTTTGATGAATTATTCCCTTATTCTTAAAAAATTCCATACTGCTCATTGAAAAACTCTTAGCCACCATGATTCTTAATAATTTGGATTTCTTTTTGAAGTTTCAATCATAGCATAAAAAACCTCGACCACCTTTTTTACCTCTGTTTTATCTTTCAATAGCTCAACCCAACTAAGCCTAGTGATCACATCAGTATATTCACAAACCACCCTTTTCCTAGTGATCACATCAGTATATTCACAAACCACCCTTTTCCATAATTTGTTAAAACCCTAGACGGTCGCCAAACATCACTATGGATAAGCTTAAATAGTTTTGAGGCATGATATTGATGAGCGGAAAAAAACGTTGATGTTTTGCCATTTCACAAAATTCACACCGAAAAATAGGAAGGCTTTTGTTCGGGAACAATTGAGGTAACAAATGCTTTAGATAAGAAAGCCAGGATGACCAAACCTACAATGCCAAAGCATAAACTTACTCTCAGTAAAAACAAAGTTGTTATCCTCAAGAAAATAAAGACCACCTGATTGCTTAGCATTGCAATCATCCTCTTCAAGACCTTGCTCTGAACTTCACCACAAAATGAGTCAAATGTTGCACAACAATTGAGTGATTGGGTTAATTTTATAACTGATACTAAACTGACACAAGATGGCAAGTTTATTTCGGACATAAAGGACATCAAAGTGGGTCAAGGAAGGAGTCAGTTTGATAGTTCCTTTTCCCGGTAATTGTTGAAAAAGATCTATGAGCTATTTGAATTGAAAAAGATCTATGAGCAGTTCGAATTTTTTGTCCCTGCACAAAGCAAGTAGAGAAAAAAATGAAAAATTTCTGTCATATGTTACTAGCTCGGTAGCTCCTGAATCGAGATTTAGGAGTTTACACAATTTGAGTGAGTACTTAGAAAAAATAAAGGGTACAATACCTGTTTGGGCAAAAGAATAAGAGGGATTGGAAAGACTTTATTTACTGATTTGGAGTTGATTCTCAAGAAGCTTGTGCAAGAGTTTTAATTGCTGTTCAGTGAACGGAGCCAGAAGACGACTCTTTCCCAAGCTCTTCGCTGGTTGTTTGGAATACTTGGCTGCCTTGATTGTCAACCCTTTTATTTCTTCTGGTTTGGAGGTTTCCCGTAAATTTTCCAACATGTTTCGGGGGTGTGCTAGTGCGTTTTACAGAAATCACACTAGGGTTTCTTTTTCTTGTCATCATATCCGTTTTGCAGCTATTAGTGTGGAAGAATCTATTCCTTTTGGATCCGGATTAGGATCTGATTTCAACCTAATGTTGCTCCTGTTTCTTCTCTTCTTATTTTTTTTGAGAGTGTCTCATGCAAAGAAGGCAAGGTTTTTTCCCAAGGATTTGAGATCTTCATCAAATTCTCTGTTTAGTCCCGCTA